TAGATAGATAGATAGATAGATAGATAGATAGATAGATAGATAGATAGATAGATAGATAGATAGATAGATAGATAGATAGATAGATAGATTGAGTTGTGATGTTTTCAGACACTAGATGGCGCTCACCTTGTTTACTGTATGTGTGGATCTTATCCAGCTGTTTACGGTCGGTTTTAAACCCGAGGTAAAAGCTGCAACCCCTCTGCGCATGCGCGCGTCTCTCATCTCTTCTTCACGAGCTGGTCACGTTCCCTGTGGACCAATCAGAGCCCGCGGGCCCGCGGTATAAATGCTGCTGGGAGGCTGAGAGGCCCGCAGGAATGAGCGCAGACACCAAACAGCAGTCGGAGCGCACATCCAGAGACTCCTTTCCTCTCTCCAGGTTTTTCTACACCTAACACAAGGTAACAAACTGTTTCTCTTCAGTCTGCTGCTCATTACATCGTTTCCGATACTTGTTTCTGAGTTTTACTACGGAAATAATCTGTCAAATATTTATTACATCATTGTCCTTTGCCTACACCAGTAGTCATCCTTAACACTGCGCGTGACGTCTCGTGACATCTTATGAGCTCGGGCTTAATGGCTTTTTATTTATTTATTTATTTATTTATTTATTTATTTATTTATTTGTTTGTTTGTTTGTTTGTTTATTTGTTTGTTTATTTTAAGTTTGACCCAAATTTTACAACTTAAAAAACTATGTCAGCATAAAAGCCTGGGAAGCATTGGGGCGATATGCATTTCTTCAAGGAACTTAAAGCCTTATTAAAGATCTTTTTTCTTTATTATCTCCAGTTTAAATGTATTTTGTAGAGTTTTTCATCATTTATCTCTGATCAGTGACGTCTTTGTTCTCTGCAGGTTCTGGGGGTGAAGAAGATGGCCACCTCAACAAGCTCCAAGCTGAACAAAGCTGTGAAGCAGCAGTACATGGACCTCCCTCAGGGGGACAAGGTCCAGGCCATGTACATCTGGATAGACGGGACTGGAGAGGGACTCCGGTGCAAGACTAGAACTTTGAATTGTGAACCCAAGTCAGTAGAAGGTACGATCCAGAGCCGAACTTCTATAATTAGTTGCTACAGTAATTTATGTGACAATAGAGCACGTATAACTGTGAAACAAAGACCTTTCTGGTGTGTTCCTTGGTCTTCATGACGTGATTGTTCTCTAAAGATCTGTAGTTTTCTCTCAGGTTTTGACAGAACAGCTGTGTTTATAAGCAGATTAAGTTACACTTTAGTTACACACAGGTGGACTTTACTTTATGATTTGACCGTTTTATGGGTTTCATGTGAAAATGCTGTGAGTGATGTGTGCTAAAGGACTTTGCCAAAGAACTGAAGTGAAGTTTAAACAAGAAGAACAGTAGCTAAAAGCTACAACAAGCTCAATGTAGATAAACATAAAGCCATCAAAATCATACTTAAAACCTAAATCTATTAAAACTGTAGTCAAAGTCTAAACTTAGCAGCTTGATAATAGCTAAAATCTAAAATTAGCAAAGTAGTAGCAAAAACTTAAAATGTGCAAAACAGTCGCCAGAAGCTTACAAATTACTGTACAAACATTGTTGAGAGCTAAATGTATCCAAACAAAAGCTAAAACCTAAAATGTTGTAGCTGAACCAGATTAAAATTTATACCGTTTGGTAATTTGATAGTTCAATTCAGTTCAGTTCAGTTCAGTTCAATTAATTTGATAGTTGAGCCTTTTTGTGGAAAAAGCTGTGAAGGATGAGTGCTAAATAACTTAGCTAAATAAGCTGAAACTGAATTATTAAAGCTAAAACAAGCAGAACAGTGGCTAAAAGCTTAAACAAGCAAAACAGTAGCTAAAGCTAAAACAAGCAGAACAGTAGCTAAAAGTTAAAACAAGCAGAACAGTAGCTAAAAGTTAAAACAGGCAGAACAGTAGCCAAAAGCTAAAACAGGCAGAACAGTAGCCAAAAGCTAAAACAGGCAGAACAGTAGCTAAAGCTAAAACAAGCAGAACAGTAGCTAAAAGTTAAAACAAGCAGAACAGTAGCTAAAAGCTAAAACAGGCGGAACAGTAGCCAAAAGCTAAAACAGGCAGAACAGTAGCTAAAAGCTAAAACAAGCAGAACAGTAGCTAAAAGTTAAAACAAGCAGAACAGTAGCTAAAAGTTAAAACAAGCAGAACAGTAGCTAAAAGTTAAAACAAGCAGAACAGTAGCTAAAAGTTAAAAC